GGTCTGGGGCGGCTGCGAGGAAGCAGAGAGCCTGCCTGGCCGCCGACTTTAGACTTTAACAGCTGTAATCGGTGCCTGTGTAAATACTCTTGCCTGCTACTTACATAATTAGAATTTAATTGGATCATGTGTCTCTGCCGTTTGTTTTAAAATCGGACCGAAAGCCCTCTTTAGATACTGATTAATATGCGGCTGCTGGTTGTTCCTGTTTCTAAGCCCTCGGGTTCTCAGTTCTGCAAAACAGAAGTTAAAGTAAGTTTGTTTATTTTCCCCCTTAAGAGACGAGAATAGCTGGGTAGCTGGCCATGCCTCTGAAAAAGTCTTTGCAGAAACAGGACCGTGTGGTCCTGAAGATGGCCACATGCTTCCTCGAGGCAAGAGGAAAAAAGGAAGTTAAGCGAAGCTCTGAATTAACCGAGAAGCAAAGGCCCTTTACGAGGCATGTCAAACGTGGAGCGAGTCCTCATAAGTTTTGTCTTACCAGTGATATTTAGATGAATAGTGCGGGTATAGGATTTGCGTTTTACTGACTGTGTCCTTTACCTTAAGGTTAAAGAGCTACCTATAAATTGCTGACTGCTTCAGCGTTGCTTATTCTAAAGGTCATTGTTCTTATAAGACAAATATGAAGGTGCAATGCGGCCTCTTCAGTGGCTTCCTGCTCTCGCAAACTCGAACGTATAAGCGTTATAACTTGGCCAAATACTAACTAACTTCCAAAAAAGCTTTATTTGGGGGAAAGGGGAGGCTTATGTAAAATTCCTATGTTTCTGTATTCCAGTTAATCCCTTCATAAACGTTATTTGCAGAAGACTGAGTTTTCTGTGATGCAAACAGTTTGTAGCGAGAGCAAGACTCTCTTCAACCTGACCCTCATGTGCTGCTTGAGGTTTCTGTCACATGCCGTGCTTGGTGCCATACGTTCTTGGTGCCATACGTTAAGCTGAAGACAGTCTATCTGTTCTTTCCTAGATCTAAAACTGTCTCCTCCCAGTGCTGTGGTTGAACATAACAGAAGGCTGTCAAACCCTGTCTTGATAAAGGAGTGCTTGCCCTTAAGAAAGAAAACATAGTTGTTCTCCTAGTGCCGAGCTGCTGAATAGTAGTGCTTTGAATCAAGGATACTTGCTATACTGTCACGGTAGCTTGTGGGGGAAGAAAGTGCATGTGTTTCTGTTAGTGATGAAAGGATGCCATAGCGGTGAGAATTGTGCAGTTCATACTAAGCGCAAGGGAATCATTAAATTATGTAGCCAGTTGCTGCTCAAAGGTAAGACTTTTTTTCCCCGCTCCCTGTGTAAACGTTGTGTTGCAACCTGCCTTGTTGTGAAGGGGAACTGGATTAAATGTAGGTGCAGTGCCAGGGATGAGGAGCAATAATCTAGGAAACTGTTTATTCAGCTGCAGTAAGATCTCTTCAAAACGACTCTGAACTCGATCAGACTTTACTATGTCAGGTGGTAATCTATCAGTTCTGTAGTGTACTTTGTCTTTTGAGAATCTTTCAAATTGGAATATTAAAAAGAATACGGACTGAAATGATGAAAAGTTTATTGGTTTTCCTGGTGCAATAATACTCTCTCTTTACCTATTGACTAATAAATATGGGATTTCCTATGTAAGGGTTTTACGTAGTAGCTTTCAAAATGCACTGTCTTTATGCAATCACAAGATGATCATGAATCTACTTGCTTTTTTGTTCTAAAAATCATACCATTTCTGATTGAGATGAACGATTGTTTAACACTAGTACTGCAATATTTATGAGGAAGGCCTTGCTTGATGCATTAATCCTTTTTGCTATTTAAATATTTTGTGATATATAACTCTCTATCACATTGAATGTGGGGATCTAAATGTATAGTTGTGCGCTTTGTGTTTTCTTGATTCCTCATAATAACAAGATGATTGGAACGAGCAGACCTGCTGAAGATCATAAATCAGTAGCACTTACTATGATGACAAATAACTTGAAGGAGCGTTCTTATCCTGATGGTAACCTGCTCAAGCTTGTCTAGGTTTGGTATCTGGCGTTCATCTTATGTGTTATGAGCGTGCTTGAAGTACAATCCCTTGTTTTGTAACCTGCAAATTAAGTTAATTGTTTCTTTTTGTATTGAAAGCTACTGAAATTAATTTTGAGAATTAGCGTAGCAGTTAAATGAAAGTTTTTTTTTTTTTATTTTCATACACTGAACTGAATCTTAAACCATATATATTTTTAGACATATTGGTTTCATCACGGTGACACACAGGTGTTGCATTTTTTAGTTTACTGAAATTAATTTGCCATTAGTGAATTACACTCTGTCACTTTTACTGAGCAGCTTTGCATACTGAAGTAATGCATAAATATTAACTCTGTCACATATTTCAATCCTTAGAATGCTTATTAATATGTCATTTAGACTATAACGTAAAAAATTTAACGTTATTATATGTTAACATACTGGAAAGTATGATCAGTTAATTGTTGTATTCCTTTAATAGGAATCATAGTATCAACAGACTTTTCTGTTTATGAGGATCTAATGGTCCTGTCCAAATTTAGCCTTGTGCACCTTTACCATCAAAGTGAAATTGAAAAAATGTTGCTATGTATCCTTACGTCTGATCTCAGAGAGAGAATTCAGTTCACTGACAAATTGAGGCCTTGGTCTGACAAAACCTATATGTACATGTTTAACTTTGCTGTGAGCGTTCCTGGAGTAGTCTGGAGCATTAGGCGGAAGGAGGCCCAAATTCCGTAAAATCTTATGGCCGTCCCAGCAGTAGAGTCGAAACCTGTCCGTGATGTTCAGGCAGTTTCTTGCAGCACAACTGAGCTGAATTCCAGCTTCCTTCGATGTGATAAGACTGAGTCAGGAATTTTGGGCAGGAGTTTCTAATTCTGTTCCTCAATGAATGGGACTTGCCCTCTCTTCTCACCCCAAAATAAATACTCTTACCTTATATTAAGAACAGCTTCTAAATGAGTTGGCCTTGAGGTCCACAGTTGGTTTCATTTTTGCATTGTCTTTTTTAGTCAGTACGTATTTTTGCATGGACAGTCCCTATCTTCTGCTGTAGCAAAGTTACTGTTGTAGTTACAATATAGCCTATCTGTTTTTGCCAGTAATATTCCTTTACTGCTGCAGCTGGCCTAGCTATAGAAATAAAACAGTTTTTCAGAATTTTCTGTGCTTTGGGTAATGCTGGTGTGTTATTTCTGTCATTTAAAATGTTGACAACAACTTAAAACCCACTTTATGCATGTGATCGTATTTCTGGAGCTGATCTTGTGGCTGCAGTGGGGAAAATTCTCGCTGAAAGCACCTAGTAGAAATACCCTACTGGTGTTCAGATTGAAATCTCTTCATGGGAATGTTGTTGTAAGACAGGAATAAAGCCCATAAAAGCAGTTTTATCTTTAAAAGTCGTTGAGGAAAAGTTATGTAAAAATCAAACTGTCGATAGCAGAAAATGTTTAATATATTTTTAAATTTATTTTCTTCTTCAGTTCTTTATTCAAGTTGATTCAGCAGAGAATTTACAAATAGCACAATCTGAGATTTTGTATAGTATATACAGCTGTATAACATTTTATATACTGTCTGTATCTACAGATTTTAAATATATAGTATTGTCAGCTATGACTATTGACAGGTTTCAGGCCTACTTTCAAGTCTTGGTGTAATAATTCGGCAGTTAAGTTGCTTACGTGCAACTTTACCAGGGGAAAGAAGTTCGTTACGTTCCTCTGGAACTGAGTAATGATAGAATTCATTTGACTTTTTCTGCAAAGTTCCTTACAATGCAGGATTTATTGCCAGCCACTGAATGTGCGTAAGGCTGAATGGATAGAACCTGTGTAGGTAGTAGCATTTGTTTGTAATAATAGGTAGTAGAAGTGGTGAATGAATTCTCTGTTCTATAGAAGAAAGTTCATGAAAGCCTCAGGTTGTAGCTTGAGTTATTTGTTGGATTGTGGGAAGCAAATGTCATTGGGAGAATGCTGTGAAGTCTCAGAAAGGTAGATTTTTAGGGATCTGTCAGACTGCTGCATAGGAAGCCACATTTTGTGTTGTTTCCCATCTGATCTGTTTAGTTCTATGGTCCGTCTGAATACGCTCTTAAGATTCTCTTCATCTTCCGCCCACTTTCCTTTTTTTGTGTTTGTGGGGGATCTTTTGGTCACTTCCTTGCCCTTCTCGCAATGTCACCAAGTGTTGTTGCTTCACGAAATGCTGAATGTGACACTCCTAAAGGCTTCAGAGTCAATGCTGCTCCTGTTCTGGCAGCCAAAGTTGGTAACTCTGAGATCTTTGCCCTCTGACTTGGAAAGGGATTGGGAAGTATGCTTTGCAATGAGACTACTGGGATGCCCCAAGTATTTGTGTGCATGGGAATAGTGTTGGAAGCAGTGAAGCTTGCTGCTGCAGTTTCATGCTGTATGCCTTGGTACAGCTTGACATACCTTCTCCTGTCAGTTGGAAGGTTTTCTTGATGCTTGAAGACATCATTGAATCTTCAGTACAAGCCAAACTTTTCTAAATTATTTCCTAACCATTGAGAATGATGAAAGATAGTAAGGATTTAGTCTAATAAAAGCTATTGCTTCTCCTTACGAATCTTGCCTGCCTTGGACAATTAGAGCTACAATAACACGGTTATTTATGATTATGAACACAGTTTTCAGGCAGTTTCACTGTTGCTGCTCGTAAGTGTTCCAAGATGCAGAGTAGTGAGAACTAAGGGTCTGTCTGTACTTTGGTATTTTTGGTTCATTTATATTCAGTTGGCTGCAGCCAACCGTGTGCGCAACACAACTGTATCCACGTTCCTCTGCTTTGGAAAAATGTGAGCAGTAGCAGCGAGAGATTGGCTGAATTCTGCTGGTTGTGGAAGAAGGTTAAAATGGAGACCAGTTTGGAAGTGGAGAGAAGTGCTAACATGTTTGTGCACATATACCTACCTTGGCAGCAACCACAGATTGCAGGGGGAGATAGACGAGTGCCTTAGGGTGTCTTTAGTTGTACCTGTGTGAGTTGACTGCAAGGTGAAAGAGAAGAATCACTTTAACAGTCACTGTGGGTACACTGTGTATTAGCATCACATTACCCAAATACAGATTAAAAACTCCAGTGTGCTAGGACAGCATTTCAAGGATAAATCATCTGATAAGGAGTTTCGGAAGAACTGTTCTGACAAATGAGTTTGAGGAGCCTGATTCCTCTTCAGGGTCTCACTGCTCTTGTATATAGTGAGCTCTTCTGTTGTTCCCGCATATAGCGGGCAGTATGCAGTTCCTGACTGGCAGCAAAGACATAAACGCTCCAAACGAGTGGATGGGAGACAAGAAAAAGAAGCAAAAAACCCAACCAACCAAACAAAAAACCCCAAACCCATACCCATCCTCAAAACCCCACTGGTTCAATCAGGAGTATAATCTTAGTCTTAATGTGCTTGGACAAACAAGCTAAAAAAAATAAGGAGAGAACGGTTTGGCACTTCCAGTGACGCTAGCCAAGTCCCTGGGAGCCGTGTGCTGTTCCCCTCAGATGAAGAGGGAGCCTGGGCTCTGGTGACAGAGGCTGATGGCACCAGAGTAAAGCTTGAGGCAGGTGACAGAGGATCTTAGAAGGGCTTCTTTTACCTCTCCTCCTCCTGCCTGATAAAAGCAAAGGGGTTAGGAAAGCCAAATAACAAAAGGGACAGTAGTGCATTTAGGGGAAAAATGCAAATAGTTATGGTCTGAAGAGAAGAAAAGCTTAATTATAATGGCATGTATAAATGTCTTTTTTGGCTATGGAGGCAGTGATAATACCTGTTTGAGCCTTTAGAGTGCCAGTCCAAACAAGGCCTTCCTCTTTAACTTCTTGCGAATACCTCATCCAGCTCTGATTCTCTGACTGCGTATCTCTCCTTGTGTTCTCACACAGTTGCAAGCTAGCCTCCAACAACTTTTCAAGTCACTTCTTTGTCTTATAAAGAAAGCCTTTCATCACTGCTAGAAATTCAACCCTACTTTTAAAAAAAACCACTGCCTACCTATCCCTTTGGGTAAGTTCTCCTCTCCTGTTCTTGTCAGCAGTTTATGGAAAACTTCACCATGTAAATGTTCTTGGTCTATTATCTTAGCCTTGCATGAAGCTTCTAGGTTTTGAATAGTGTTACAAAGTGATGGAGGTTTTTAGTAGGTTTTCCTAGCAACTTGCAGATGCGTGAACCAAATTTATGTGATTTTTCAACAGTTTTTGCAATGTGCCTGCTTCTCATTAAGGGTTTAATTGCTTTTAGGACAGACCTATATTAATTTCTACAGAGAGTGTTCTTTTACTCTGGTAGTGGCACAGGTTGTTCTTGCAGATGTTTAATCTGTGAAAAGGAGTGAGAAGCCTTTGATGGTTGTACTCAAGGGTTTTTATTTAGGAGCATCCTTAAAGATGTGCATCTTATAGATCAAAAGAAAACAGTTCTGCAATATCCATGGTTACCTGAGTTACCGCAACAGTACTATGTAAGTATAGAGGAAATTGTTTTTGCTGTCTGCCCTTATTGCAAGTGTCCATGTTAGCTATTTCCAAAAGCAGGGCCTAAGTTCCCGAGGCGGTCTTTCCTCTGTAAATAATCATAATGACTTTCATGAGGATGTCTTGGTGTCATCCAGAGCTCTCCAGTGCCTATTGTTTAACAAGCTTTGAATTCCTGATGCTTGCAAAAACGGGAAGGCAAGCAGTGGTAAGTATGAGGCTTACTCTCAGTCTCACTCAGCACACGCTTCTGTTCCCTGCCTGGAAATTGCACAGAATCAACCTGGAGAGATCGGGAAGCACACAGGCAAATCTTGGAGGGCTTGGGATGTTTGCCTGCCTGCCAAACAGAATACAGGCTTCCATGAGATTTAGCTCTGTTACTCTTAGGGTTCTTTAGGGATTGACCTGCCTGGGTGTTTTCTTCTTTCTAGCTTTGCTATGTCTAAAAACCAGACCACCATAGACTGAATAGTCCCCAAAGAGTGGGTGTGCTGCATACCATTGTTGATATTTTTAGTAGACTCTGTTTGCTGACTGACTTAGTGTGCTATAAATACAGAGTTCTCATCTGGCGTGCACTTTACATGTCTTCTAGTAACATGTAACACATTCACCTAAGAATAGTGGCAAGAAAAAGTGTAACAATTTATTTGGTTTTACATATGAGATATTGTTTATATAAAGCAATTATTTAACAACACTTGACTTATAAATGGCTTTTAAAACTAATAGTATTCCAAAACTCTTCCTAGACAGCCTATCATTATTAGTCTCTATATCAAATTAGTTTATATTGTGATTTCATTACAATTTTATAAATTTAGATATCGGAGGTTAGTTTAGCATCTGAAGCAGTATCAATGCTAGTAAATGATATTCTTTCTTTTGTTAGTACTAGCACATTGTGTGAACATGGATAAAGGCTATCCTGTGCCTTACTGACAATACTCCTGGAAGTTTTTTCTGCAGAATAGGTGTGTATAGATTTGCTTGAGTTGAAATATGGTTGAGGTAGTTACCATATTAAGTGGAATTAAATAGTTACCACACTAAGTTACAAATGCTCAATGGGAAAAGAGGAGACATCCATGTCTCATTAAAACATGAGTGCATCTGTCTTAGAGGATTGAATTCGACATAAAACTGAAGGACAGATTCTTGCTGAATTGTGTTGAGTGTAACCTAAATGTAGGTTTTTTTTTTTTTTTTAATACTGCTAAAATAGAAACTGTGTCATAGTGTACAGCAAGAGATGTGGCTTTCATTAAGGGGATTTAAACCTGGTAAAGGTTTTCATGTGCAGCAAAAGAAAGGTCTGCCTGGAAGCATTTTCTGCAGACTTTCAGAACAGGCAGATGGAATTCTGAGAATCTTAAAATATTTTCTTTTATAATGGAATCTGGATCAATTTGATGATGATCTTTCCAAAAACTTTCAGTATAAACTGTCTCTCTGCCAAGGATCTTGTGCAGTGCCCTGGAAGGCATGCTGCCATTGAATCCTAACATCCTGCGCCTATCATGACTTCTACTCCTTGTGGACTGAAAAACATCACTCTTACTTGATTCTTGAGTGTGAACAGGGATTGAAGCTCCAGTGTGGGGAGGAGTCCTGCCTGCTGTGAGAAAACACTGTGGCCCTGCCAGATGGAGCAGAACATCCATCAGTAAATAAGTAAATTCCACAGAGAAAACAGTGGACAATCTCTGGAGAATAAAGATCAGTGGCGATGGTAGAATGCGATTCTTCATGGTCACATAACTGCTTTCACCATGAGGCTGGTTTTTCTTCTTTTTTTTCCTTGCATCAGCAAGGATGACTGAAGAGGCCTAAGATGCCAGACTTGAGGATTTGCTATCTACTTTCTTGGGTGTTTTGCTGTCCTTTGGAAAGAATGGGTTTAAGATCACGTGTCTATATTCCAGATACTGGAAAGCACATTAAGCATGTGCAACAAGTGACTCAGGTCTCCTACTGTCTTTTACACTGGATAACCATGATTCATCTTCAGAGTAGAGCTGGAAGAAGTGTCATCAAAGATGATGATACAACATTAGGTATGAAGTTACCAAACATAAGGTTGCCTATGCAACTTTTTTCTATAGCTTTTTAATTTTTCAGCATTATGATTTTACAAACTTAATAGCCAGTTAGGACTGATTTGTTGGGTGTTTTTTTTTTCCTATCTGTGTGTTTACATGAGGATATAGTTATTAGAGATAGTCAAATCAATGTGTTTAGATACTTGATTAATTTTTATATTGGCAATAGTACTAAATGCATGTAAATTGTCTGAGTTAAAATAGCAACACTTTTTGTGAAAACTGTAAGAATCTAGAAATAAATTACAGTTCCAAAATAACAAAAATAATTGTTCAACCATTTTCATATTTTTAGCGTGCTTTTCCATCTGTAAAGCAATAAAAGCCATACTCTGCTCTCACAAAAGCTGTTGCACATTGAAGGGAAACAATCCACTGGACCAGTGTGAGAATGAAAATAGCATGAAATTCACACATGTGAAATGGCTGCATGCTATCAAAAAAGTACCCTTTGAATATCTAATTCATTTGCCCTAACATTTAGGCTTTTAGATGGCAAGTGTACTGGCGTTACTCGGCTTCTTAAGTACCAAACTATATTACTCTTTGATTGTTGTTTGCTTCATTTCGGCCTTAGATGTGCTAGTCTGTATCTTCATGTGTCATATCCATGAATTTGTATTTTAGAAATGGTAATGTGTAAAGATAGATGATACTAGTCGTCATGCTAAC